ACTCGAAAAGCTCGTGAGATACTCGATTATTTTATATATAATTAGTTTTAAAGTATATAATCAGGTTTTATGATAAAATATGTAAAATATAAATAATATAAATGCCTTATATTTTTAGATATTTAAACAATTAAAAAAAGACAAAGAAAAACTATAAAAAAAGTTAGTGAAGTTGTCCCACATTGGAAAATAGATGGTAAATGAAGAAATAAAAGATGTTATAAAAAGAGAGAAAGATGAATGCAATTTTCTAACTTTGTCTTTTTGATGATGAAGTTTGAAGTTGATCTCTTTATTTTTATAAAAACTAAGAGAACACTTTTAAGTTTTAAAATTTATAAGAGAAAGACCCTAAGTTTTATAAATTTCAATGAGTGAGTTTGGTTCGAGCTTGATTCGAGTTCGAGTTCGAGCTTGATTTGAGTTGTAGTTCGAGCTTGATTCGAGCTTAGTTCGAGYTCGAGTTCGAGTTCGAGCTTGAGAAATAGTTATCGAGTTCGAGTCGAGCTCTGATTTTTACTACTCGTGAGTTTTCGAATCGAGTTCGAGCTTGGAAATTCGGTTTCGAGTTCGAGTCGAGTATAGTGATACTCGAGCTCGACTTGAATCATTTACACCCCTAGTTATGACAATACATATATTCTCGAAGCTGGCACTTCTATTGGAGAGTTTTTTTTAATTCCAGACAGAATAATTAATACTTTGATGTATGAAAGCTCAGATTTAAATGATTCTACTAAACAAAATAAATTGATTTAATTGATCAAAAATTCTTTTATATTCATCCAAAAATGAAATCTTATTAAAAGTTTTAACTAAAAAGAAAAAGTTACCCTTTTGATATGACAACCAAAACTCGAAATTAGGAAAGAGGCAGCGCGAACGCTGGTCCCCACTATCACTAATTTTACATTTCAATGATGTGGGATCGAATGATAATACAATTCAATGATGTGGGACCGAACAATAATACAATTTAACTCGAGATTAAGATCATACCGTGGTAATCTATACTATATTATAAAGCATTTGACTAAAACTCTTAAAAACTCTTAAACTCTTAAACCCGTTCATCCCTATCCGATTTCATTCCATATCTGAATTCGTGTAACTAACTGCAAATAAACACAATCAAATACATGATAAACATCTCAT